GCCCCTGTTTGGGTCGTACACCGGCATCGAGACCTCCACTATTCCTCTTTCAATCATGAAGTCACGTAGTCTTGTCAGTGCCAATATCACGTGTTCGGGATCAATTGTGTTTCTGTCGTTGACTCTCGTTACTAGGAAGCAGAGGTATTTGCCCGGGACTTGTGCCACTGACGGTGGAAGCGCTGCCATGCCTCCCAGTCCCGGCCTCTGTCTGAACAGGAACTCTACGTTCTGGTACTCTCTTTTGAAGTCAGCCTCCAATCTTGATTTGAAACTCATGTCCGCCGTGATGCAGATCGCGCTGGTCCTGTTTGACAGGATGAAGTCGCTATCCGTTATCATGATGTTCTCTGAGTATTCATTGGGTATTTCGAATTTCGTTTTGAAATTCCTTCCTATGGTAGGCTCTGGTTCTTCTTGCTCCAGTTCCAATCCGCTTGTTTCCCTCACTTCCTTGAGCTTCTTTATCATCGAATTTTCGGTGTGGGTAAGTCCTACCCCCACTCCCCGGACAAAAATATTTATCGACGTCCCCGTCGATGTAGTCGGGTCTGAATTGTCCTTAGGGATGTCCAGTGGCCTGTCTGTTGCTGTCCATCCGAAAAGTGGCTCCCCTGTCTTCATGTACTTTGCTGCTGATACATCGACTTGCTGAATGCTTTGTCCTTCGTGACTCTCGTCTTTGACATCACGCATCCACTCTAGAATCCTCAAGTTCGTGTTCTCCCTCCTTTCTATTTCACTCTGCTCGAGATCCGTCTCCAATTCTGGCGTCGAGTAATCATCCTGCGGATAATGCCCACCATCGTCAATGACCTGCCATTCTTCTCCGGCTTCCAGTTCGCCTACGCCTAGTAGTTCATCGCCCAACTTGTCTGGCAGTATCTTATCGATCAAGAAGTCATCCCCGTACCTATTGTACCTCATGCCTGTGCGTTTACGATTGCCCGTCCTGGTTTCCGGTGGTGTTGGTCGATCCGGTTCCATCCACTTCGGTACCTCGTTTTGCTCGGGATCGTTCCAGTCTTCTTCTACAAATGAACCTGCATCCGACTCCACTTCTATCTTTTCGTTGTCGTCCAAACTCAAGTTCTCATTACCATCATTTTTCTCTCTAGTGCCTTTCTCATTCACTTCGCACGCTGGTTCCACCACCAGGTACTCAAGACCTTCCATGTCTTTTGGCAGGCACCAGTCCTCCGGAGACGGAACGTGAGGCTTCAGATTTTCGTAATGTGCTGCTCGCCCTGTACTCAAGCGATAGAACCTTCCTTGTTGATGTACTTCCGTAATCATGAACGGTCCTCTCCATTTCTTGAGTAGTTTCTTTGTTCCCTTGGGCGGTATGACATTTTGGAAAACCCACACGTATTGGCCCACTTCGTATGGCTTTGCTCTTAGTATCTTCTCGTCATATTTCTTGCGTTGCCTCATTTGCGCTTGTGCCGTGTTTCTCCGACATAGCTCGTTCAGCTCTTGTTGTCTTTTGATCGCTTCCTTCACGTATGCTTGAGGCGACGTCTTCTTCCCCTCGTACTCCGGGTAGAAGAATGTCAGAGGCATTGCCCTTTCCCTGCCCGTCAACATCATGAAAGGACTGATACCCGTTGTAGAGTGCTGGGTACTATTGTAGGCTCCTACTACCTGTGGCAGGTATTTGTCCCAGTCCGTCATGTATCTTGAGCAGTACACCCTGAGCATGTTGACTAGTGTCCTGTTCTGTCTCTCTACCAACCCATTGGTCTGTGGATGATAGGTCGTCGAGTGTGCTTGAGCAATGTGTGACCTCTTCATCAATTCTTTTGTTAAGTCCCCCACAAAAGCCTTGCCGTTGTCTGACTGGAAAGTCATTGGACAACCATACCGCGATATCCAATGCGTTATCAGGTGATCACATGTTTCCTCTGCTGAGGCTGTCTGGCACGGAACTGCTTCCGCCAACTTGGTAAAGTGATCTATTATAACTAGTATTTGGTTATAACCCGATTCCGTCATGCAGATTTTTTGATGGTCTATCTGCACCACTTCATTGAATTCCGAACTCTCGACAGACTTGAGGGGAAACTTCATCTTCCTTGGGTCTTTTACTTGAAGGCATGCTAGGCAGGCATTCACCCATCTCTCGCAAGCTTTTCTCATTCCCGGCCAGTCAAACCTATGAAGTATCCTTTGTTGTACTTTATCTATCCCCTGATGGCCCATCTGGTCGTGTGATCTGAAAAGCACTTCCGTTTGGTACAGTTGTGGTAGTATGATGAGGTTGTGTTTGTGTATTATCTTTTCCTCATCTCTTCTCTTGCACGCTACCACCCCTTCCGCTGTGTGATAAAGTAAGTCTCTCTTTTCTTTGTAGAACTGGCTCAAGATCTTGTAGCTGTCTTCCTCAAGTTCCCCCTTCTCCTTGACTCCAGAATGGATCCATTTGGAGAGGTTACTTGTCATTTTGTCATTCTTCTGGGCCCTTATTAGGTCAGACAGTCTATATCTCGCCTTAACGTGCTCCTTTAGCGCCATGATCTGTCCATTCATCTCACCAGGGTTGTGGATGTCATCGCTCAGTTTCACACATATTATCCTTTTCACGATTTTCATGTCGTCCTCTGGTACCAGATTCGTTCTCACGTTTGAGTTGCACGATAGTTCCCTAAGTGGCTTTCTTGAAACTGCTATTTTCTCGAGCTCTTCTCCACCTCGTACCTCTTGTATTTCCAGATTGTACGTCCCTGAAGATGGATCTGTCTGTAATTCCCTGTCGTGCTGTCTCGTCTTCTCTTCCGCCAGTATCATGCATAGACTGTCTTGATCCTCACTGCTCTCATCCGAGTCTTCATCCCATTCTTTACGCTCCCCGGACAATTTTCCTTCTCCGGTTTCGTCTTCTTCCATGAATCTGGACCACTCCCCGGACTCTTGATCTAGTCCCAGGTGTTCAATTTCTTCTCTGAATGTCACTTTCTTATCCCTGACTTTTGTTTGCTCCAGAATTTTTTCGGGGATTTTCTCAACTAGTGATCGCACAACTTCCTTGCTATCAGTGGTGCTTCCTTTTGAGACGTCAGTATTGTTCACTGTTTTTTCTCTCCGAAGTATGGTTAGTTCCGGTGCCTCCTGACTTTTCCCTTGGATCACGGGCTTGTCATCCGATAGTTTCTCAAGTAACCTCATTAAGTCTTCATCTATTCGGACCGTTCCCTCCTCTACCTGGGTGAGATCATAACCTTTTGCCTTGAGTGTCTCCCTCACGATTTTGGACTTGAGCATTATTCCTATCGGAATCCCTCTGCTTTTCTTCAAGATGGTCTTTTCAAGAGGCTCTTTCGGCAATTCGGGATGATCTTCAATCGGTTTACCTGATTTGTCCAGCCATCTCGTGAGTGGAAGACTGTCGTACGTTTCTTTGTCCATGAAGGAGAAGCCATCTTTGATCTCCGGTCTGTCCGCCTCTCTTTGTTCTTGCCTCTCGTAGAACTCCGTCTTCTTACTCAAGCTGTCAGCATTTTGATGTTTATCTCGTGTTCGGTGCTCAATTATCATGTTGTATCCATCCAAGCGAACTATCCACCTCCCAATATAGCTCTGGTCCATTGAGTACGTTTTCAGCCAGCTTAGTGCTCGGTTGTCGACTCGCAGCTTGAAGGGCTCACTGCCTAGGTATGCTCTGTATTTTTCGACAAAGGTGACCACCGCGAACATCTCTGCTTTCGGTGCTCCGTACTTCATTTCTGTGTCACTTAGGACCTTGCTCCCGTATGCTATTGGTCTCAAGACTGTCTTCCCATTCCATTCTTGTTCTTGATGGAGAATCCCAGAAATAGCGACTACTGACGCGTCCGTGTCTAGCACGTACATCCCCTTCTCTGTCGGCATACCCAGTACTGGTGCCTCACACAGCTCTTTCTTTATTCTCTGGAATGACTCTTCTGCCGCGTTGTTCCACGTGAACTTCTTGCCCTTATGTCTCATTAGTTGTTGCATCGGGTATACCTTGTCCGCATAGCCCTTGATGAAATCTCAATAATAGTTGGCGAAACCCAGGAAGCTCATCAGCTGGTGCTCCGTCTTCGGTGATTTCCAGGTTAGGACTGCTTCCACGGCGTCTGGATCAGGTCTGATACCGTGCTTATCTACCATCCTGCCCAAGTATTTAATCGAGTCCTTGAGTATCTCGCACTTTGATGGTTTACACTTCAGCCCCGATCTTTTCATGCACGCGAACACCTCGTCAAGCCTCTCGATGTGGTCTTCTAGTGTCGGCGTTGCTATTACCACGTCGTCCACGTAGCACATTACCAGGTTGCCGTACTTCTTCGTCACGCCTATCAACGCGTGTGCCATCAGCCGCTGAAACGTGGCTGTTGCATTGCAGAGTCCAAACGGCATCCGTTTCCATTGAAACAGACCCAACTCGCAGGCGAACCCTGTCTTGTCCCTGTCTTGCTTCCTTAATGGTACCTGCCAAAAGGCCGAGCCTAAATCAAGAGTCGTAAAAAATTTCGCATCACCTAACTTCGAGAGGCTCTCATCAATTCTAGGTATGGGATAGGCATCCTTCACCGTGACGGAGTTCAGGTATCGAAAGTCACAACAAAACCTTAACTGGTCGCCTTTCTTTTTGGCCATCACTACTCCACACGCCCACGGTGACTTGGATGGTTCTATCATGACATACTCTAGTAACGTTTCGATTTCTTTTCTACACGCGTCCGATTTGTGTGGGGTCATGCGCCTCGCCCCCTCCCTGTGTGGTACCGCGTTTTCCTCAAGTTCAATTTCATGTTCAACAAAATTACAACACCCGATATCCGCCTTATGCCTTGAAAAAACCTCCTCGTTTCGCTCTAGTACGTCCTTGATGGCTTCGAGCTGTTCCTCTTTCAGTTTGCCCCTTAAGTGTTCAATCTCCGGGAGAACCGGTTTGTCGGTTTGCATTTCATCTAGTGTGGGTCGCTCTGGAAAGTTCGAACAGCTCGAAAGCCCATCGTCCGTTTCTGACTTAAGTGATTTAATAAGACCTGAAGAATCTTTTATTCTCTGCAATCGTCTCAAGATACAAATTTTGTCCCTGTGGTTGGGACAATCAACAACTTCATTTTGTTTTGAGTTTTCAATTGTTTCATATCGAGTTTTAACCGGTAAAGCATATCCCAGTTTCCGCCCTCTCTGTATCGTGATCGGTATATCAAGGGTATTCAACAAGACACTGACGCAGAGGCCGCTCTTCGTTATCGAAAATGATCTTCCTAAAACAGCAGCGCTTTGACTATTAGGATTTGGAACTATACACACTTGCTTGTTATCGCTTAGTTCATTATAATTTTTCATCCTCAAGCTTACGATTGCCGCTTCATTAGCTTTTAACCTCACTCTCCTACTCAAGAATACCGGTGCTTTGTTTTCATTTGCCATTATTAAATTTACCGGTTTGATTGCGTACCTCCTATCCGGGTTCCGTATCCTGAACATTGCATTATTTAGATCAATCGTTACGTCGAAATTCCTGATGAAGTCTCTGCCCAAAATGAATTGGTCAGATTCATCTAGGTTTTCTACCACGATGAAGCTCATCCACAGGTTACGTTCCCCCAAATTGAGGGCTATTATCTGCGTCCTGCCCAGCACCCGAAGGGCCCCTTTGTTTGCAGCTGACAGCCGTATTCTCGAGTCTATCAAGTCATCTTTGTCGAAGCCCATCTTTTCCCATGTTTCGATTGGTATGACGCTCAAGACTGCTCCCGTGTCAAGTAATCCACGTAACTGAGTCTTTTTGCCATTTATGTCTAGCACGTGCCCTGTCACGTCTGCTTCCGTTCCGATGTGCATTGCATCTTCTTCAAGCATAGCACAGTGTCCAATCGATCTTACTTTCAATTCCTCTTTCCCTACATAGATTTGTCCAATTAGGTCTTCGTCGCATGTTATCATCGTTTTGGTATAGATGTTAATTCCATCTATATTTAGCATGACCTCGTGTGGACCATAAGCTTCAGTGTACCTATTATCAACTCGTACCGACTTGCTGCCCCCTCTCGTGAGTAGTGCCCTGAGCGCTCTAGAAGTCGTTTGTGGACTTATTCCACTCAAGTAGTCTGCATACACGTCAATGTGCATTATCGTCTGGTCGCTCGGCTCGCTCAAGTTTCTGGTTACCTCGTGGCCGCCCACTGTGATTATCGACATTATTCTTGCTCCAATTTTCGATATTCCAAAAGGTTTACCTGTCACCATTTTCACGGTGTTACAATTCCCAGTCTTCGTTGAGCCCGTTCTAGCCTCTGGTATTGATATCGATCCGGTTAATGCTTCGTTAAAATTTTGTCTTTCGATCTCCAACTTTAGTCGTTGCTCTATTTCTTTCGCTGCCAGATCTTGTTTCACTTTGGCAATTGCTTCCGTCGCTGCTTTCTCATAATTTATCTCTAGAGAGCTTCCGGCTGCGGACTCTAACGCACCGCTAACATGTGTAACAGCTTTCACTGTCTTTGTCGGCAATTCGGTGTTTGGTGCCCCTAAGTTCCTAGATTCGAACTCGTTTTGCCTGTTCCGCTGATTCTGCACCGCCGCTAATGCCAACTTATGTTTGGGGTGATTCTGGTCCTTGACCGCTTCCCAGAACAAGGGACAATCCATTCTGAAGTGCCCCTCCTCGTTACAGAAGAAGCATCTGGCGCCCATCTTGATGATTAAGCCATTATAGTACTCGTGTTCCTCCATCTGACTCATATCCTCCTCATCCGGTGCATAACCTAGGCTCTTCATGCCTTGTTTGTACGTTGTGCAGTCGGCCACATGATGATCCGCTGACCCGCAGTTCGCGCATGATCTGCGCTTGTCCATATCATCTCTAGGTTTGTACCATGATGATCTCTGGGGTTGACTTCCCCCTTGCGTGTTCCTGTTTTCAGAATATGAGTACTTCTTAGGTTTCATCAGCATGTATTCTCTTGATTTCTGTCTCATTTCTTCTGGGGTGGGTGCGCTGTCCTTCGACAATGTGTAGTATGTTGCTAACATTGTCCTTAAGTCATCACTTTTCACCCCATCAATGAACTTCGAGGCAATGCTAAAGTTCCGTCTGTTTGTCGACTCCTCTGGGTCACTCCTCCTTCTCAAGCTCTCAAGGTCATCTAGGAACCGATCTATTGACTCGTCGTCCCTCTGCCTTCTCTTTTCAAATCGCATCATCGCTTGGTGACCCTTCATTCCTGACCCGAATCGATTCAGCAATATCTCGAAGATCTTGTCCGCGGTGTCGCGTTCTTCCTCCTTCTTTGCGACCACGCATTTTAATGCCGTTCCTTCCAAGTTGCTCAGTATGGCTGTACATGCTTGTCTTTCGTCACTCAAGTTATCTTGTTCTAGATGTAATCTCATCACTTCCACCCAAGTGTCAATGCATCCATCGGAGTCGTCTTTGAATTCTTTTGGCTTCTTGAATGTCTTTCTTGATTTTCCCTCTCTCCTGTCGCTCGAGTCAGTGTTCCTCGTGGCGAAGGCCTCTAGAGTCCTGTTCATCATCTCCCAAGTGCTGGCCCATGTCATAGCATCCGGTCCTGTGTTGCTGTTAGCTGTTGAATCTCCCGGACCAGTCGTTGTATTCGACGTTCCATTCTTCATTATTGTTTTCGCAGCTGTTGGTGCTATGCTTATCGCATCCCTGTTTATGGGCAACGGTGTCGGTTGCCGTTTGTTCCTTTGTGGTTCTACAAAGTCAACTCTGGTGCCTTGCGTACGATCCGCTGCCGGTCTTTCTTGTGGAGTAGAACCTCTCAAGATTGCATCCAACTTCGCCTGTATTGTACACGAACTCTCGGCCTGACTCTTGCTCATTGTGTCCATTCTCCTTTCCAGGCTTCCTAATTGGCTGTTGACATCATCATATCGGTTCTTCAACTGTTGCATGTCTGTTTTGATGTTCTTTTCTCGTTCTTCATTGGTGGCTTCTACCTTATCTGACATTTCCTTGGGTCTCTCATCTGTTGCCTTAGCTAGGTTAAAATAACTGTCTAGATACTCGTGCTTGTTGTATCTTATCTCCTTTTTTATCACCTCTCTGTCTTCTTCACTGTGCTTAAGTCTTTTGTCAATCTGATTTAATTTCGCCAACAAGTCACCCAGCTCAATTAGAGTCTCTTCATGGTCAGCCGTCGGTCTCTCTTCGGCCGTAGCCTCTGCTTTAGCTTGTTCCTCTCTTGGATTGGCTTCTGAGGTCTTCGTGCTCACTGTCCCAAATGTTCCTGCTCTTTCTGCTTTTGGTTCTTCAGTCACGTTTTCTTTCGTTTTTATTCCGAACATTATTCCCAATTTTTCCGTAAAAGATGTCCTCTTTGCTTGAGAGTCTTCTTTCACCGTTTCTTCGGTGTTGCCTATTGCATCTTCCGCGTCATCTATCGGTGAGAACTCTATGGGTTTCTGGTTCGGTTCCTCTGCATTGGGCATTGGAGTTGACTCTTTCGCCATCTTCCTTGTTTCATCCACACTTTGATCGGGTGTCTCTAGATCAATCTCGATGGTGGGTTCTACTCGCTCCCCTTCCGTGCCCTCTTTCGCCCTGTTCTCCGCTGTACTCCTTGTGCTGACCATGTTAACTGAAAAGTTCTTCTTTGTTATCTCTGGGCCCGTTGATGTCGTTCCGCGCAGCGATGAATTATATTTCGTGTTTGATCCACTTGACCTTTTTTCGAGCACCGGTACCCTACTCCGCCTCATTATTTCTATATACAACTGCTTCTATTTACAATTTTATTATATACACGATTCTATCCTAATAGTAAGTAGTAAAAAAAATAAAAAAAAATTTTTTGCGGTAACAATATCTGTACAACGTGTTAAAAACCTTGTTCTCTTTCTAAAACCTTTGAAAAATTTCCCTTAATGTGGTCTTAACCGTACCTATTTCGATTTGTCTTATCCTGTCTTAAAACACACTTGTTGTAATTTGACTTCAATTTTTATACCGTCCCAAGACTGTTCGTCACTATCACAGTACTCTCCGCTAGTGTCCTTAGACCCTTGTACCAAGGCCACTGTCCCAAGACTACTGTCCCAAGACTAGTGTCCCAAGGCTAGTGTCCCAAGACTACTGTCCCAAGACCAGTGTCCCAAGGCTAGTGTCCCAAGACTACTGTCCCAAGACTACTGTCCCAAGACTAGTGTCCCAAGGGTAGTGTCCCAAGACTACTGTCCCAAGACTAGTGTCCCAAGGGTAGTGTCCCAAGGCTACTGTCCCAAGACTAGTGTCCCAAGGCTAGTGTCCCAAGACTACTGTCCCAAGACCAGTGTCCCAAGACTAGTGTCCCAAGACCCTTGTCCCAAGACCACTGTCCCAAGACCCTGTCCCAAGACCCTTGTCCCAAGACCACTGTCCCAAGACCCTGTCCCAAGACCCTGTCCCAAGACCACTGTCCCAAGACCCTTGTCCCAAGACCCTGTCCCAAGACCACTGTCCCAAGACCCTTGTCCCAAGACCCTGTCCCAAGACCACTGTCCCAAGACCCTTGTCCCAAGACCCTGTCCCAAGACCACTGTCCCAAGACCCTTGTCCCAAGACCCTGTCCCAAGACCACTGTCCCAAGACCCTGTCCCAAGACCCTGTCCCAAGACCCTTGTCCCAAGACCCTTGTCCCAAGACCACTGTCCCAAGACCCTGTCCGAAGACTACTGTCCCAAGACCCTGTCCCAAGACCACTGTCCCAAGACCCTGTCCCAAGACCACTGTCCCAAGACCCTGTCCACTGTCCTCGAGACTGTATCAAGACTGTTCTGGTCCAACACTGTCCCAGTACCACACTGTCCCGAGACTGTCCCCAGACTGCTCTGTCCCAAGACTCGTCACGGAGTGTCTTCCTCGTTGTAGGGTCTTCTTGATTCACCGTACCTTGTACCACCACTCAAGCTCTAGTAAAATTTTCCCAAAAACCCTCTCTTAAAAGCCAAATGCAGACCCCCCTCTTCTTTTTGGTTATTTCTATTTCAGTGTAGGTGCGCAGGTATCTTGTGATCACCTGTTCGTA